ACGCTTCCTCATTTTCCTCAAGTTACGGAGATTCGGGAAATTTTGTTTAATCAGTGGTCGACCATTTTACATGGCAACCTTATACATGTATTTGAAAAATATTAAAAACAAAAACAAATCTTTAATTTGAATTCAAAATGATTAAAACCAGGAAAAAAAGCAATCATAAGGAGATCCTTGAAAATGAATAAGGAAATAAAAACCAAAAGGTAAACGTGTTTTGATTTATCGACGACATTTAGGTCACATTTATATAATGTCACGTTCTTAAAGTCAGAATCAAAATAATCGCAAGGAAACCCCAAGACATATTTTACTGGTAAGCTTACATCTATTGTTAATAAATGGATGGTTTTATTTAAGAAAGACGATTTGTATGCCTTGCAAATGTGTTTGCAGACTCAATGGGCGAAATTTGTTTCGTCGACGAAGGTGTTCAAAGTTTTGTATACTGGTAACTCAATCGAGTAAGAGTTACTTCCCTTGCACCAGAAGGGGTGTCTTGATTTAACTGCCTTTTCAAGATACACGAGGGACTGAGAGAAAGGAAAAAACTCTGAGATTGTTTTGGCAATCTGTGAATAAATATGGGTTGTGTGATATAGAGAAATGTTATGCCCTCCCACCCTACACGTTTTTACTTTTTATGAATCGATACTGCAGGGAGTTTTAGTTTTTCTGTTGCAGTTTCATTGTCCAGGGGATTGTGGTACTTGTCTTTATATGTGGAGAAATGAATGTCTCTGGACTGGACATCTTCGGCACGGCTGTCCGGATTGGCGGCGTACGCGCATCGCACACCTTTAACGAGGTTGAATTATTATAATTGGGTAGGTATAGAATATTTTAAAAGCGTAATTTAGTGAACGGTAGATTAAACAGCACAGTCTTCTTGTAGACTGTCTACCAGTCGCTAGGTCGCATCACCAACTTATTTTTTTCCATGAGTTAAACAAATCTGTATGCATTCAAAATGCTAGAGACAAAAACTTGACTATATAGCTACTCGTGTTTGTTTAACCTGACATTTCAGCACACAAAGTAGTGAACATTCCTGTTATTTGGCGAAGACAGCAAGGTACAAACATACATTGTACCATACAAACAAAACGCTTTAAACAGTTTGTTCTGCATACTGGCTTGACGTTTTACAAACCATGTGTATTATCATTATATCAAGGCACTTTACACAATTTGGGGAGCAAACATTTATACAATGTCCATAACTGTATATGTAAACCTACATGTAATAGGAGTCGCGTACTCAAATATAATATGATATTTACACAGCTTTACAGCGAGGAATACGATCTCATCTTAGTGTCGTAAATCAGCTATGTACGTCCATTTGATAAATCAATTATATGACATATAAACAAGGGGTGTACACGTGTGGCTAACAGTTCTGTTAACACGATTTTGGCATCGGTTCAGAATAAAATGAAAACGCTATCAGAAATGAAGTCGACACACCTTTTTATTTACAAAGTCTCGCCAGACTAATTATCCTGCAGTGATGATGTCATTCCATTTATAAGTGTATTGGCTGAGGCGGTAAATACACATCATATACTCTCACTTCCTGTTGAATATCTGACATCAATTGTATATTATGGAATAAAAGAACAAATCATCTGAGAAGTCATTGGATCTGCTTGTCATAACACAAACTATTGCTAAATCAAAATCAAGGAAGGGCTTACTTTCATTTAGACGGCGTACGCAGGTAGCGCTCCATGTCGTCTGCGTTTATATATACTACCGTTTACGGCGTCAATATGACTATGTATATTTACACGGAAAATAATGTTAAATGCTACGAAGACAAATATTTCGAAGCAGGTTGTTACGATGCTCACTATGGTAGCCGTGGAGAATACATTCATAGTTTGGTGAATCCACATTGATATAGGAATACATTTAGAAAATACACAGCGAACAACACTATTTTTCTTCTTCTCATAGCTATTAAATCAAGTAATGTGAGTATCCCTTGAAGCATTCTTATTCCCTTATAACGGTCGTTATGTTCGCGCATTGACACACTGCACTGGTAGTGACGCGGTCAAATGATACCGAACGAAGCCGCAATTGTTAATAATACGGAAGCTGGGACATACTTTTGATACGGGCCGGCGTTGCATAGTGTTTATAATACGGTTTCTATCCATAAATATTTCTATGTATGTACATCGGAAAATATTCATTTTTCTACAGCATTATAAAATCCGAGTACAAAGTTAAAATCAGTTGGTGTAAATTGGTATTGCCAGGCGTTTAATCTAATGTAATCTATATAAGTTCATCGTTTAAAGTATTGCCTATATAAATGGAAGGAAGCATTTATCGGAAAGAGAAACCTATTAGTTCTGTTATTTCTAGATGTCAAAACATGTATCTAACAAATTACTATAATGGTACAGGTTAGAATGAATTCAGCTGCAGCGAAATAAATAAATAAACATACCTTCGAATCTCGATGGACGTACACTTATAAACAGGATCAATAATACGTTCCAGACATGAACAGCTCCTCGTGTCGCCATGTCAGTTCAATCCACTGTGAGTGAAACACAACCAGGAAGTTTACATCCTATACAAGGTCGTATATATACAAACTTCTCGACGGCATAACAATTAGCTATTTCGAAATTTGAGGACGCATATATTCGATAAGTTTTTAATCTTAGACGCTGTATTATAAATG